TTCAAAATAAGGCATACCTGTAGCTATTGCAATTAGTTCCAACTCTACACCACCAACCCATCTGACAGCAGGCAAGTTCCTGTGCATCAATAGGTGATTTGCTTCATCATCAAACCCCCATTGACAGATGACCAAGGTAGCACCAACATCCTGCATCCAATGATTCTCCATAAGTATCCAACGATTATCCAAAATAATCATTGTAGCCATGAATTTCATAACTTTTTGTTAATAGCATAACATTATAGAACTAAGGGATGCAATCTAACCTTGCATTTTTGGACCATGTCGTCAAAGTACTTCTGTTCTTGCATACGTAGAGTCTGAAACTTTTCCACCGTGTCAATATCAACCTTATGTTTTGTCTTTGGCTTTGGTGGCTCAAAGGGGCAAGTCAAGATAGCAATTTTTGCATTTTCAATATACTTTGGCATTTGTGGATGGCTCATATCCTTGTCAATAAGAATACCATATACCAGCTCAGTGTCTTCCAACTTACCCCCAACTTTCCCCTCTACTTTTATCAAATCTAGGTTCACATCTTTCCTCTCTAAATCAGCAACAGCCAAAACTGCCTTCACAGCAATCTCAGCAAGGGCACGCTTGCACCGATTCACACTACAGCATGAACAAGAAATTTTTTAATTCAAGTCAATAATCGAAAGACAATAAAGGACACTTTGACAGAACAATCTATTAAAAATTAGCAAATGGGGAAGGGGTGCAATAACAGCACACTATTACAACAAACCATGAAACTTATCTAACTCGTCAAAAAGAAAGCATGATTTTTACTCAAGAGTACACAATTATCCATGCATTATGATGACAAAAACCATCATACAGCTAAGTGGTGAAGTAAACTTGCTATCATAAGTATGACTGAACTGCAGCAACACATATAAGTGAAACGAAAATCTAAAAGGTTCACTTACATCTTGGACGATAAAGTGGTCATGCAAGTTCCAACCAGAGGCTCTATATTATCCAGACCAAATTCAAATTTGTGTGATATATGCTGCAAATGGTCGACCGCTATTCTGGATGCCAATTCGTATCCCTCTGCAACACGTATGGGGTGGATACCGCGCTCCAACAGTCGCTCAGCATGCTCTAGAAGTGCACCAGCCAACACAACGACTCCAGTTGTCCCATCACCAATTTCATAGTCCTGACTCTGGGATAGTTCAACCATCAGCTTCGCAATCTGATTGTCGACATCCATCTGCTCCAGAATCGTTGCACCATCATTTGCTGAAAAAGATAAACAAATGGTAAGGCAATGCTAAGCAAATATTAAAACTAAAACCGCAATTGACCTCAAAGCCTATATTCCAGTTACGTGGGTGCTTCAACCCAAATAGCCATCTCCAACATCCCAACACTACAGGGCAGGTACAGGCACGAAAATGTAAAAACTAACCAGCCGACTACTGTTATCAATACAACAATCAGAGTAAAACCCACACTAACCCAGTGCTCAGAATAGCATATGAAATTCAAGCCTAACAATTTTTCAGTGAAAATATCATAACGAACTAAGAAAATGAAAGGGAAATGAACCCAAATCACAATGAAAAGACAAAGACAAACACATAGATCCACACAGTAATTACAAAAATCAACCAGAAACTCGAATCGAGCAGAAAAAAAAAGCTTCATATTCTGTGCGAGTAAGAGTTCTAGAGAGAGAGGTACTTACTGACAGTGATTTCACCATCGGGGCTCTGGAGCATCTTGTCCATGCCCTTGGGTCCGAGGGAGGTCCGGAGGATGCGAGCGACTGCCTTGCCGGCGGAAATGTTGGCCTTCTGAGCATCGAGGCCGCGCAATCGAGACTTCTGCTCCTGCTCCCTCAGTATTATGAAGGGCCGCCCGTACTCGTCGAATGCCAGCGCCATTGCTGCACCAATCGAACCGCGATGCTTCTCGATTCACTTGTTCCCCTCACTGTCACTTCTCTTCTTCCCTCTTCGGACTAGCTCTAGGCCCTTCTCTGTTTAAAGCATCTGCTTTTAGGGTTTGGGGTTTGAGATTTTGACCGCCTGAAGTGGGAACCCTTCTGGATGTCATTTTACTTATGGGCTTTATATGCGCCATATGGGCTTCGACCCGGATTGGTTTGTTTGGCCCGACTCTTTTCCTGTTAAGACTTATGTTTGAGAGATTTTAAGTATCAACACAATGACTAAAATGGTTTTTAACCCTAAATTTATTAGTTATGTTAATTTGGCATGCTTAAAAGATTAAAGGGGCTCATAAATAAATTAAAATTGGAAAAAGGCAAATCAAAAGAATGTCCTGTAGAAATTATTGGATGGTACAATACAACTACATGTCACTAACAGCTAGTAGTATTCACCAACATGTGCATGACACATGGCAGAGTAATTTTTTTTAATAATTACTCTATCACGTGTCATGCACTTGTTGATTGGTATTACTAATTCTCAGTGTCACGTGAAGGCATGGTACCATCTAATAAGTTGGAAGCCTTTCTAAATTAATCTTTACTTGGAAAATAAATATAGATGCAAACTCAAAGACCAAGGTAAGGAATTCACAAAGATTTTCCAACAAAAAAATAACGGTACCAACTGAAATTAGCTCATAACAAACTGCGCACCACGGTGCCACCGATGGCTTTCCTAGCTCTATGCCGCAACGCCCTCCACGCCCACCAATCTCCGTCCACCCCAACATTCCTATATAAACCCGCTTCTCACCCAAACCCACCAACCAAAACCAACTGCGCGCATACTTAGTACTTACCCCTCCTTTTAAGCATACAAAATGGCACGCCAACAAGTAGTTGTTCTTGCTCTTGTTCTGTTGGCCACCGTGGGGTTGGCTTTCGCTGCTGACGCCCCCAGCCCCGCCGCCGCCACCAAAGCCGGCCTCCCAACCTTCACTGGTGTGCCCTCGGCGGGACCAGTCCCAGACAATAACGATGTGGGAACCGTTGGTGGCTCCGGTGATGGTGCTTCCAAGGCTCCTTCTCCCGGTGGTGCTACCGACAGCATTGCCGCAGGCTCTGTTGGTGGACCTGTCTCTGCCTCAGCTTTTGGCTCCATTGCCAGCGGTAATGCCGAGGGTCCTAAACCTAGCGCTGCCACCGTTGCACAGCTCTCCGCCGGAGTAGCTGTTGCCGCTGGCGTCGCCGCCTCCTTATTGCTCTAAGCCCCGTGCATGCATGCATGCATAGTATCTAATTCCCTTGCAAACGCTTGTGCTCGATATTATTATGAATAACGTTAGGCTCACGAAGTGATTGATCGTATTAGTACTTTTTCGACACCTTTGGCGAGCGTAGCGAATGCTCGTACATACGTACATGCCATGAAGATAGCTTGAAACATGTTAGACTAGGCACCAAAATTTCTTCTTCCTGTTAATGTAATTGAACTAATATTTAAACGTTACAAATTAGAACGTTATTCTTTTGTGTTGTAATTCCGCTTGCAATTCGCTTACTATAAAAAAAAAAAAAAATGCAGTTTTGCAACATCTGAAATCTGAACTTTGTCCAATTAATATTTCGATTTTCTTCACATTACATTTTTTATTATACACGATATATATACACTAAAGGGTGAATGAATAAATTTGTCCAGACTTTACTTGCCCACTAGACCGTAATAATAAACCCTCGTTATTTTAGTTTGAAAATTTTGAACAAACGACTGCCAAGAACTAGAGCTCGACCGAAATATACCCAAGAAGACTAATCTTTCTTAATTGCAAGAAGACATGCATTACAGTTGCATGTAAGTTCTTCTCCAACAAAGACAACCTATTGGGATTTGGGGTGTATAATTCGTTACAGCAATTCAACTAGGAAATAAAGTGCCTTCATGCAGAATGAAGGCACTTATAATCGAATATGATTCCTTCGAATCCATATCTTGCCTTTCGGATATTCGGATTCGTTGGAAAATGGCAGTTGAGAGGCCCTTCCTACCTTGACGAAAGTCAAACGCTTAGGGGAGTCCTTTCAAGACTATCGCAAGTCTTGGATCCCAAGATCAGCCAACATGGCGACAGACACGTTGGCGTCAGTGAGAAATCCGGAGATGTGCAATGTAACATGGGTCACTCTACCTCCATCTTTGTTGGTGCATGTTCTTAACAATAATGGTTTACCTTGTCCTCCTTAATTGTTGTATATGCAATGTAGGGGGCAACGCCTTAGCATTGTTGCAGTGTCATTCTTCTTATACCTCCCTACACTGCTCGGCTTAAATTTGTGCCTAGTTATTTGCTTGCCTCGCTGTGGGCTTTCCTTGTATGTTTTGGCATCTTTGCCCTAGTAATGGATTTCCCAGTTTCCAAAAGAAAAAAATGGCACTGCCAAGATCTGGTTTTAAACTGCCCTGCCTAAATAATATTTAAACCAGCTGCTAAAAAATCCACAAGATTCGTAATAGAAAATCGCAGAAAGAACAAAACAACGATAGGCATCGAAGCACTTGATCGGGAGAGAAACAAACTAACAAAGCATGCAAACCAAAACTCCGTCTACCGCTGTCACACGCTCGTATGTACTACGATCAAATAGAAGCAAAAACCATTCGCAGATTCAAATAAACATTGCCAAGCAGTTTTAAAATGGCAGAGATTGCAGAGACATGAAAGACCATCTGTGAATTGACAGTTGCAGCTAAGAACCTATGACGCAACATAAAAACCCGACATGAATGGCCTCCGCTTGTGAAATTATTCCATCAACTGTGAATCGCGCCTAGCGTTTCAATACTCCAAATTGAATAGCCAACTACGAAGCTTAAAACGAAAATTACAATGGCAGAGCTCAAACAGCAGCAGGGCTACAGAGTACGTGCAGAATTACGGTATGCTAACGGAATCACGATACAGCAAAGAAAGTAGTGCCAGCAGGAAGACATGTAAATCAACCCGCCTCCGGTGAATGCCTTATTCAAGAATGATGCAGCTTCTCATACACTAAACATGACTATACACCAAATTTCTAAAAAACAGTGTTGAGAAACAATACAACTTGTCTAAACAACCATTTCAGACAACCTGACTAAATGATACATTGTTGAGAAATCGACAACACGAAATCTCTGAAAAGAAGTACAAAACTACGTCCAAAAATTTGTATACAAATGGCACAGAATATGTCTCCCTGAAGAGAAAAACAAACCCTAGTCTAAACAACTGTTTCCGTCCCAACCCATTTACAACGCAGCTGCTACTCACAACCCCTAAACCCAAATACAACTCACAGTTACATATTATACACAGGAAGTAAGATTCTTTACAGGAAGTGGCTTCAGCAGAAACTGGTTTGTACAAATCTCACTATGACTAATTACAATTTAGCACGGTGGCTTCTTGTTACAGCGTATCAATGGCTCAATCCTAACTCCCTATAGCGCACAGAGCAGGCAACGACAATTACAACACGCTGAATATGTACAACTAAGCACATTGTACATGACTTTTACAAGCTCGTTGCTAAGCCTAAATCCTAATACAGGCATAGAAACAAAAGAAGGGGGGATTACATGTGGACCTAATACATGAAGTCTACAATTACACAAAGACATTAAGTTGTTACATGCACAATGACAAGTCTCCTTAAATATTTCACTAGTTCGGGGACACTCTTTTCTTTTGCACAGTTGGCAACGCATCCATGTAACACATCTTCCACCATGTGACCAGCACAGGCTGATTCAATCATGAAATGAAGGAGTTGCCCACTCTACTCCCTGGATATGATGGTTGAAAGAAAACCCGCATGTCAATAGACATCAAATAAAATAACTTGCAAAGACACCACCTCATAATCTATTGCGACCACTACAATAGAATAATACGAAGATCAAGACAAAAAATGAACATAGCAATCAAAGTTAACGGTATCCAATCCATTGTGTAACTAACTTCCCTAGAGGCATGAGACGCATTAGATAACAAGGACATCACACAACTCCCTCCCCAATTAATCTTGCAGTTTGCAGGTCAAAGCTATTCATAGCCAATCATGCCAACATCTTTCTCAACCTTTCAGTTAAGATCAAGCACATGCTTCACTTGAGAGATAAAATAAATCTAGAAAGGAAAAACAACTCCCACAGTCACAGAGCACAAGAAGTATTCAAACTATAAATATCACAAACCCAATAAAGCAATTGTCTTGAAGAAATTAGGTAGCAAAGTTATTCGACCAAGAAGATAATAACCGCAGGAAATGAGTAGCCAAACCCCACAGCTATATCTTCATCGGTAAGCTACTAAAAGTTACTAATTGTTTTTAAGCACACAAATATTAATTGGCACAGCTAAATGTTCTGAAGAAAGCAGTATCAAAAAGCAAAGGGGGAACTGACCCTTCCCTCCTATGCACACCAGTAGAACTTACTTCTCCTTCAAGAAGTGGTAGGCGGTAGGCCCGTGGAAGCCCAGAAGAAGAATGCAGATTCACTGTACGTATCAAAAGCTACATATAGTAATAGTCAGAATTTATATTCTGCAGTCTCAAAGACCTGCCGTAGAAGGCAATGATCTAACTCTGTCACTCAGATGGCAACCGTCTCCTCTTATAATCAACATCCCTTGATCGAGACCGATGATCATCCTCTGGCACAGCTTTGGACCTGCTACGAGGTCTTGAAGAAGACTGACCTCTGTCCCAGTCATCCTCATAACCCCCATCACGATCTCTCTGCCGATGGTCTCGATAACTATCTTTTTCTTCCTTGTACCGATGCTCCCTGTGCTCCCCCCTTTCAGACCTTTCATAGTCTTGTTCCCTATCATCACGATGCCTCCTCTCAGAGTTTCCTGACCAGTCACGCTCAGATCCCCTTTCTCTTTCCCTCGAGGCAGCACTTGACCTTGGTCCTTTCTCATTATTTGTGTCACCATATCCATACTCAGAAGCATTATCATCACCACCATAACTTGACTCCCTAGTTCTTCGACCGTGTTCTTCTCCTCCCCAGGCCCCCATGCTTGGGTCATTCCACATCCCTGCATGGTGTCCCTCCATTCCAGAAGAACCCATCATCCCCATCCCATTAGTTGCCATTCCCCTGGCAAAGAAAGCTGGGTTTACATGAGGAGCCACCCCGGCAAGTCCCATTGTATTAACACCAGGAAATTGAGGAAGCATTCCAGGAAAAGCAGGACCTGGAAACCCTCCATAACCGCCTCCTCGACCCATATATGTTGGATCAAATCCAGAACCCATCATACCCTGTGGATTCATCATTCCTACAGGACCACCAAATCCAGGACCTCCAAGGCCCTGTCCATAGCCACCTCCATTAGTACCAGTTCCAACACCAGCAGGATTCCCAACCATGTTCTTCGCACCCATGGCCCCTCCTCTTCCCCTCATTGGTCCTCCACCTCCAGGACCTCTTACTCCCTGTCCACCTCGTCCCCATCCGCCCCTTCCAAAATTCCTACCTCCCGGGTCTCCAGCTTGAAAATTCACACCTCCCCCCCTCCCACCACCATCATTCATGGGCCTTCTTCCTGGTTGCTGAGCCTGAGCCTGACCTTGGGATTTGCTCAAATAAGAAGCTCCCATCTGTTTCAAGGTTTGCGGGGAAGCAAAAGCCACAACACAAGCTCTTCCATTGAAAACATAACCATCCATCCCTTCTTTGCATGCCGTGGCAGCAGCTTGATCATGAAACTCAACCTGACAATAACCCTTGGATTTACCACTGGCCCTCTCGTCAAAAAACTTAATTTCCTTGACCCTCCCATACTGAGATATAACACTTTCAATCTCAGCATCAGTTGTCCACCAATGTAGTTCTCCAACAAACAGCGTGGCTGAACCATTCTCAATTGGTGGTCGGATTTGGTTTTCATTGACCATTGGACGATTAGCATTTATCTTGATACTCATTTGATTGGTCGGTATCTGTGTAGCTCCTGGAGGGCCAGCACTGGCAGGATTCAGAGACGGAACAAACTCACTATTACCTTTTCCAGTAATATCAGAAGAATCAACACCGACATTTGGGGGCATAGTTGTTGACCCCTGAAACGCCATATGTCTGACTTGAGTATCATGAGTCATGTCCATAACCCTCCCCTTCTGTGATCCAGACGCCCCACTCGCATAACCTGTGGATCCCAGTTCTGGCTCCTTCGCCACTGGTGCTTGATTCTGTTCTGGAAACTGGGCCCCAGCACCAGAATACTTCCCTTGAACTGAAACCCCAGGAATTTTCAGGTCCTGAGAGACACCAGATTGAACTCTTGGTTCAGGAACATCAGTTTTCTGTGCTTGGAGTCCTCCATTGCCCACACCACCAGTTGGGAGTGGTGCCTCAGACCGGTGCATCTGCATGAAACCCTCTCCAACATTAACATCATTATAGAGATCATCGAACTCATCATCTTCGACCATCAGTTCTTCATCTGCAAGCGCGGAGATGGCTCCACTTCCCTGATACTGAAGCTTATGAGCCCCTCCATATTCCTCATCTTCATAATCTATTTGCTCTTCACCCAACGGTTCCATTTAGACCAACCAATATACACCCGATATGGAGTCGAACAATCTATACCTCTACCTATATAATACATAACGAAGAGAAAAAAAACCGTTCTTAGACCCATCAGAGATACGAGACTGCAAACCGGAAACATGGATAGATACAGATCTTAACACAAACATAACTTAACCACAGAAGAGTAAGAACAAGGACCCGGAAATCCAAGTCTTTCTTCCATCTCATATATACAGCTTGAAAAATGAAGCCTTTCTTCTTCATCAAAAGAAATTACTTAAGCGACTAATCAAATACAAAAAATTACAGTCTGCATCATCATCGACCCGAAAACAATAACCCCATCAGAAGATAAATCAAAACCCACTTTGGAAATCACATATTCCACAACCCAACTTCGTAAAATTTAGAATTACAATAACCCACTTCATGAAATCGCATGAAAATTTGTACATATCAGAAACTCAAATCACAGATGGAAAAAATTTTAAAAATTAATTAATACAATCGTAGATGGAAATCCAGAAAATCATAGCAGGAAAAAAACAGACAACAAGAGAATACCCAGTTGGGAAATCTCACAGAAGAAACAGATTCAACCTTAGAGCATAACAAGATTCAATAAAGTGATGAAAGACAGACAATGCAGAGAAGAAAATGGAAACAAAGAATCATGGGACGAGGAGATTGGAACATGCTGTCGGATTCGCAGAGGATGTTGTTGTCTTACTAATAATATCTCTCAGCTAGTACCAAGGCGTCCGACGGAGTCGCAGCAGCTGCGTCCCTCTCTCTCTCTCTCTCAAGCTTTTCTCATGAATACCAACAAGGAAGGACTACGGCTATTCCTCCTCTTCCTCTCTGTGTTTGTATTTTTAATAATATCTTCTACGCATTTTCTTTTCTACAGTGGGACACCTTTCACCATTCGGATCGACTCCAAAGTTTCCAACTTTCCACCTCCTTCTCCTTCGCCCTCTGGTGCTCTCTCTGTAATTTCTGTATCAAATTGTAAAAAGTTGAAACCTTTGCCTTTGTTTTAATAGTGAAATGTTAAAATGTTTTGACTTCTGTGCATTTCACTGAAATGTTAAAATGCTCATCACATGTTCTCCACCACACAAATCGCATTATCAAAACCTTGTGCTGCTCATGCCTATTTTATTATTGTATTTTTTTTTAGCTTTATATTTATATATTCATTGAATTTAAGTTATCTAACGGTTAAGATCTAATTTGCTCAAATTTAACGGTAGTACATAAGATTTAACAGTTCAAATTTAAATTCAACAGGCTAAAATACTTGAAAAAAAAATATTTCATGTGTTTTATATTCTTTCAAAGTGTTCCACAAGTTTTATGGTGTCTATTTAGTGATTTTTCAATATTAATCGAAATATAAATATTTTTAGGTTAGAATTAGGATAGTCTACCTTTTTTTTCTTTTTTCTTTTTTTATGAAAATTAATTTAGGAAAAAAATTATCCTAAGTTCATTTTTTAATAATCTCGAGCTTAAAAATTTAACCTAATATGGATTGAAGTAGAAAAACGGTTTCTGAGTTAAAATCTAAATTTTGTGGATTAAAATTTTGAAAATTTTAATCTAAAGGTTAAGATGGTCTGATAGAAACTCTTTTTCTGAATATAAAAAATGTGGAGTGCAAATTGATTTTTTCTTCCGTGTATTTGACAATTTCTCTAATTTTCCCACCAAAAATTTGTCTTTTCTTGTTTACTGTTAGCTTTTGTTTTATTTTATTGGTGAGTTTTGAGGAGTGGAGAGCGATATGCAGATAATTTCGAGAAAGTAAATTGACATTTTACCAAACTCGTATCATGTCCTCTAATCTTTTCCTTCCTTGGTTACAAAGGAGAAAGGACAACACCAAGTCACATCCAGTGTACCCATATATGATATTACTTTTGACGGTGCGTGATAGATTTAAGATACAACCACCTTGACGTCCCGGTTGCATTTACATATAAGTTTCTCTGGACAAGATATTTGGAAAAGAAAAAACGAAATGCCTTTCAGAAGTTAACGTAGTAGAGGTTGCTTGGAGTTTATACACATAGATTTCTTCAACGTGAACATCGTTTAACAAAAGGAATTTATACACAATCCTGTAACATCTGTCTTGTAATCGAAATACATTCAGCTCAAATGAGAAGTTATTGTGCTACCACAAATCCATTCCAAAAGAATCGAACTGCCAACCCGAAATGCACTACGCTGTTATATCGCTCGAGAAAAAACTTCAACGGCTAATGATCTTAAACAAACTCTATCTAAGCTGAACATCAAAACTGCACCTGAGCCGATTCACGATTCATATCTGATCCTCCAGGGCCCTTGGACGTGCGAAAACTGCAAAGGCTATTTCCGATCTGCTTCTGAGAGACCTATTGCCACCTAAAGAAATAATCACTACAAAAAGAAAACCCCATTTCTCTACAATTTAACTGAGTAACTATATTTTACACCGCCTCTAGCAGCACATGCATAGAGATGATACCGTGAAAAATTCAGGAAGTAAAATTACTGAGCATGTCAGAGGTGGAATTGACACGGAATTCCAATTTGAATCAGGAATTGCCAGCAAGTGATCCAGCCAAAATCGATATCTGAATCAATACATCCCCTTGAAAACAGGATTTGTTCTGCATATGCTTGCACCGTATTCCTCGTACTCTTCTTTTGTATGGCAAGCCTGCACAGATATGAATATCTCAATACACAATATGAATTTAGCAACGGAAGAATGATAAAACTTTGGCACTTTAAAATTTAAGCATAAAATAAGGTGAAAGCTCAACATCAATGCCGAGGTTGCAGAAACATAAAAAACTGTGTCTGTATTTTTGGAGAGGAGATGATCTCCTCCTCCATGATTAGTTAAGTTCACCTTGATGCCATTCGATTTCTGAACAATTAAGACTCAACGTATATAGAAGATAATGGGACAAAACCCCTTCATCTCACAGAGAAGATGCAAAGGTCTAGCAACATTAGGAGTTGTCCAAGTGAAAGCAAACACTGAATATAGCATACTGTTTCTACACAAAAATTAGACCAAGCTCTCTTTTGATCACAAATGTCAAATTATTTGGACTCCAAACAGGTGCTTTATACTAACAAGACAACACTTGTTTCCAACTCAGTTTAACTCGCAGAACTATACTGCGCAGTGACTCAATAAAACTTTATCATAAATTTGCAAGATTTGTTAAAATCCCCATATCACAAAAACATTTATGTGATGGCTTCAAGCCCCGTGGCAACTTAAAGGTTCTTTGAGGGTTTCAAGATATAGGGATAAAGTCAGAGACAAAAAAAATATGATTGTCAGCCTGCATTAACAAAAACCTTTAAATAGCTCCAACACATGATTCAAAGCAAAAGGAGATATGCAAGTTTCTACACAAATAGCTCCAATATATAGAAAACGGTGGAATATGAGAAGACTGCAATAGTTGTCATGCCCTCAGATTAGAAGAATAAACTCATACCGCAAAGAATTCAGGTGTGGACTGCAAGTACTGAGCCACCAAACCAAACTGCAAATCTCTGGATGGGATGGCTAACTACATTCACTTCCACTGGATGTGACTGTGGACACAAACAAAAATGAAAATCAAACTCTGGTATTGTAAATAAGCTGCATATGCTTACTAGTTTATATAAATACACATTGCACACTTCTAAATAAAATGCTTACTTTTACTTCTCCACCAACTCGAGCTTCAGATGCAAGAAGCCGGGCATCCACAATCTTCTTTATATCCCGTTGCAACCTCCTATGGAAGTCCTTGAACATGGTTGAACCTCCAGACAACACTATATTCTGAGAATAACAATAACAATATGAGACCAAATCCATAAGTTGCATAAAGAAATATTTAGTAAATAACGAAGATCACTAATTTACTATACATGAGAGCATAATACAATAGCCTTTGGAGAATTTACATAAGGGAAAAAAAAATAAGATTTTCATGGGACTAGGTCCAGACCTTAGAGCTAAAAACAATTCAAACACCAAACCATGAACATAGAGAAAATCAATGCTAAAGTTTAAAGAGAAAACAACTCAGAACGAATGACTGTAAAGTTATAGACACTTGTAGAAAACAATACCTAGTAAGGCGTAACTGAAGAAAAAAAAATTCAACCTCAGTTTAAACAAAGAACCATGCAGTAATGGTTTCAGAACACCATTACAAGGCCTAAGCACCACAGTGAAGCAGCACAGCATATTAATTCATATTGCTTCAATTACAAATGTAAAATACATCTAATCTATGAAGAATTTCAAGGCCTACTTCACCTTATACAAAGACCTCCTAGTGTCAATTGGAGCAGACTGAATACACTTGTCAATTACAGCAGGTAACGGAGTGGTGAAGTTGGTGCTATAAATCTCGGGATTGAAGAAAATCTATGAAAGCATTCAAGACAAAATTAGCAGAGAAAAGGTTAGTACCAAACAGTGATTGAGAAGAAAAATAGAAAAGGGAAACATTTTAGGGGAGGAGGAGAGGAAGTAAACCTCTGGGCCAAGAAATCGTTCATAGCCAATGTCACAAGAGTAGGGCGCCCCTGTTTTTGGTTTAATGCCTCTCCAGTGCTTAATATACTTGGATGGTTCCTTATCGTGCTTATTAAACTCCTGCAATCATTGGAGAAACAAGAGTTTGTCATCAAACAATCTCCAAATTGAAAAATAAACTCACAAATGAATGTAACATAAGGAGTTTTTACAGCAGGTATAACAAAAATTACACCAAATTGTACCAAGGTCTTCAAAACTAAAATGATCATGGAAATAAAGTTGACCTTGACAATATCAGAACTAGTATAGCAATACATTTCCTTCACTCTGCGAGCTACATCAAAGGAGTCGTCTGGTGGCACATTCTCTCCTCTTTCCTGCATATAATGCAAGCAGCATAAGCGCACTAACAATTCATCTGTAAATCTTAGTCACAAGTACTCTATATAAGCCGTAATTCATAAAATTTCGTGAAAGTTCATACACTATTGTCTGGTTCCAAACACTAACCCTAGCTTACCATTTTTATGATCACAACAAAGGGAATATGAATACAACTAGCAAGAATGGAATCCCATAAGGGGAAAAAACAATTTAAGTTATTAGTGAGAATGGAAGACAGCATACCCGCATAAGCTGCTGGACGAAGAGAGTGACATCTTTCCCGGCAATAGGAACTGACTTGATGCTGCTCCCAATAACATAACCTTCTGCAACAGGAACAATATGAGTTGCCCCATCTCCAACATCTACTACAACCCCTGTCATCTCACACTAAGAAAATTGTAGGTCAATCAAAGAGGAAACGATCAAGGGATATCAAAACAATAACATCACACATTACTAAGCACTTGGGGTAACACAATTCATAACACGACAAACTACAATAAAATTCTCAAATTTTCGATACCAACCTTGGAGGCAGTGTAACCAGCTGCAAGAGCAAGTACCGAATTCACGGCAATGTAAAGGCCAGGAACATTGAAAGTTTCGAACATGATTTCACCCGTGTACTCCCGGCTCTCCGGGGCAGTAAGCGGACTCTCAGTTAAAAGAAAATAATGGTCTTCAGGATCACAACGCAAGTAATTAAATATACTTTGCTGCCAGAACCGCTCCATTGAATCCCAATTCTCGACTTGGCCCTGTCGAACGGGATAGCTTAGATTGTAAGTTGTGCTAGATCGAGATTTTTCCAGCGCCTCATCCCCAATAAAGAAATCAAGATCAGCCATCACGCCAGCATTGTGCTGCGCTATCCAGCCGGACTTGGAGGAGGTTCTGGACGGATTCAAAAACGATTCGTTTAATGCAACTACAGTCGGAACAGTGTAACATGGCTCGACATTTCCCGCGAAACCCATTTTAGTATACCTACAGAAATGGATGCAAATGCACATATTAGAGCATAATCTCTTGGGAATTTTAACAAACAGGTGGGGACCGATAAGTGCAACCCGAATTTCAAAAGAAAAACGTCAGTTGGGGCATTTCATCGAGCAGTTTGCGTGCGTATTTACATACCCACTTCCATTGTCGATGACAACAGCTGGGCGAGAGGCCGGGTCCATGACAGAAAGCTTGGAACTTGTATTGGCTTTGATTATTACGGAGGTGGATCTGCAGCTCAGATCCGATAGAGGGTGCGAGGCAAATGATCATGGCTTTGAAGAGCGCGAGAAAGGAGAGCGCGGAGAAGAAGTGGAAGCTGATAGTGCTGATGATGGCGACGCAGACTTGGATCGGAAGCGAAAGCGGCGGCTCAACGAACAGCTCGGTAGCTCGCAGCAGTAGGAGATTGCGATTGCTGCTCCACCCATTTCAACGACGGACGCAGAAGCTGAAGATTTCAATGGCGGCAGCTCTCATCGACTGCATCATCATCGTTGCAGCTTCTGCAAATTTTCTCCGATTCGATGCTTGGCAATCAAACAACGGCGACCGCTGACCCCCCACTCGCTTTCTCTTCTGGGGCTTGTCTTTTTGGCTAGTTACGCTTTGTCGTTTGATTTTGAAATACGACTTTTGCTTTGGACCGTTGGATTTGTTTCCTGGTGGGACGGAGCGACGGGTCAGATTTTGCCTCCGGTCGGAAGCCAGCTATGGGGCCCGTGGAATTGTTGTAGTGTGGCGAAATGGTGATGTCGGTAGTTTGTTTGTATCTCAAAATATTTAGAATCTTTTGATACATATAATAACTAAAAGGGGTATTTGTCATTTTTCTCCCTGAATTTGTAAGGAACTATCAGTTTCCTCTTTGAATTTTAATTTTAGCCAATTACTTCTGTGAACTTTTGTAATTGGCCAATTTACCCCCTGATGTTAGTTTTGAGAATTTTTCATCCAATTTTTCATCCAACTCGGTCACATGCACAGAAAATGCCAAATTTTTTAGGGTAAAATAGTAATTTTATCCATAATGTGAACATTCTATTTTTCTTTTTTTTTTTCTCTTCTGCTAGTTCACTCTGTACAATTTTATCTAAATTAGCCATAGAAGTCTAATTAGCAACTGCAAAATATTGGCTTTGCGCCAAGTTTACCAAAATGAAATTAACGATTCTTACTACAATTAGTTTTGCACTTCAAGTGCTTTAATAAAGTTAACAGCATCCACAAAAAATATGCAATAGACTTAACGGATTTGCACCTAGTGCCAAAATCAATAAAACCTATCAAATTTATAGTTTCGCATCATATAATCCCATTGAAAGAATAACTTAATCTCAACACCAAAGGTTTTCATTAATAGTACAAAAAGCCCTCCAACACATCATAGTTACACTCTCCATGGTCTTGCACGTTGGGGTTGTGATGCCATTTCAATAGCCTTCCTTGTGACTTGATTCATACAACCATCTCGGTTCACCTATTTTAATTCAACACGAAAGAAACAAAAATGTTAGCAAACCCAAAATACCTTCAATACTCATTGTTATGAGCTTCAAAGCTCAAAATACCTTCGATATTTGTTTGATTTCACCGTCTGTTCTCCATATCTTTTCTCATATTGTAAATGCCCAATTCTTTTTGGCTCGCCTTCCCATGCTTCTCCATATACCCAACAACGATTAGGTTTGGTTGTGGTGTATGATTACCTTTTTGCCCTCACACCATTAGCATGTGCCGAGCATGTGACCAAATTGGATGGAAAATTCTAAGATATAACGGTAGGGTGTAAATTGGTGAATTACACAAGTTCAGGAGGGTAATTGGCTAAAATCAAAGTTCAGGGGGAAAATTGACAATTTCTTAGAAGTTCAGGGGGTCAATCGACGAACACCTCTAACTAAAAAAATATTAGGAAACAAGGTGGGCATTTAAGTAATTTCACACAAACAAATTTGTGCTATTTTGTTTTCTGAACCTCACAACCATGTCACCTTATCACTACCCTCTAAAACGAATCTCTCTCTTTGTCTCTCCTTAATTGCCAACCCTTTTTTCTTTGGGTGCTGCCAACCCCGTTTAAATCAAGTAACCCCTTCGTCACTTAGTAATACGGTCTAGTGGTATTTCTCGAAACTTATAAGTGAGAGGTCTTATATTTGATTCTCACCATTGGCGAGTTTGAACCACATTATTGCTAGGCCATTATAAGGCTAAACTCACCATCTCTCTCTTAGTGTAGATTTATCGTTTGTTAAAAAAAAATAATAATAATAACCCCTTCCATAAAATAAAATTTAAAAAAACAATATTTGAGAAAAATAAAAATTTCTCATACACATAGAGTGTGTGGCTTTTCCTAGTGTCAATTAATATAAATAATCACCCTACTTAAGACGAGCAAGGAGCTATATATCTATATAATATACAAATTTACAAATATATATGACAAAAACATAAAAATATATAATTAGTTTACCTTTTTGTAAATATATATTGAATAGCATTCATAAATTTTATATTAAATTGTTTTGCATGTATTGTTTTATTATTACTATTTTAAATAATTTACCTATATTTATAGTCACTATGTAGGTATCTTTAATCTTTAATATTAGAAAACCAGCAATCAATTTAGTGTCTCAAGGCTTTACAAAAAATTTTAGGACAAAAACATCCCTAAAACAAAAAAATCCAAAACTAATCCAAAATAACACATCAAACACAGCTTGGGTAATTTTGTAAGAAAAGCATAACAAATAAAAGATAAAAAAAAAAAAAAAAAAAAAAGGAAAAAAGAAATGAGACGTGCAAAACTTTGACGTCGTGGGACTCCAGGGAAAATCACGAACTGACGGAAAAGAAAACTGCCATGAACCACAACTCCACGTTGAGCACTGAAGATTATGAGGAGGTGGGAATCTTTCTTTGCCGTTCCTTCTACTTCCAGTGGTTTGGAAAAAAAAAAAAAACAAAAAAGGTTAATCAATTTCCTTTTCGTTTTCACTTTCTTCCGTTTTCTAAAGGTTCATTGGGTCCTCGGTCACTCACTACGACTATATTTGGACGATGTGTGGAGACGAGTGCAGGACGTTGTCAGTTTTGAATATTTTCAAGCCGACCGCTAAATCTAACACTGTCAAGTTGGATTACTGGTGAATGCCTAAACTTTCTCACTTTGTCGTAAAGTTTTGTTTATATTCCACCAATTCCAGTTTCCTTGCTGCCTTGGAGAAGGTCTGTATCTAATGGGTTTCTTTACTTTTTCTTTTAATAACTATTCTGATCTTCATTCTTTACAGGTATGTTTTTTCTTTCAACAATTCATCTGCAAATTGTTGAGTTCTTGAATGACTTCCATTATTGCTTTACAGGCACTCTTTGTTTATTTGCAGATATACATTATCATTTCAAGCTTTGCAAATTTTGTGGTGATACTATTCGGTGCGTTCTTAAAAATTTTCTTTTTGATCTTTATTTTTCTTTCCCCAAATGATGGTTCAATTACAAGAGCTGTGCATATAACTGTCAATGTAGCTTTCGAAAAGAAAAAGACTACATTTTTTAGCATATATAGAACAAAGGGTTAGTTCTGTCTGTTTTTCCAAAACGTATGTCGAGGGAAAATGTATGATTCGTATTATTAAGATCACTTTCATATGTTTATTAAGATCACTTTCATATGTTACTTTAACTGTTATAGTAATTTTTCTCATGTTATCTTCCACCAAAATATGGATTAAAACATGTACGAAATGTTTTTGTAGTACATATGTCTTTATGTATGCACAAACATGTGTATGCACAAATGTAGAAGAGCAAAAAAAACCTTTGTATATCGCGTTTAGCATGCCGTGATGTAAAAAAAGGTCTTTCGCATGCGCAAGGCGCGTGCAGAAAGGCTAGTACTAATTTTAATTAATTGATGTTTTTTATTTGTAGAAAATTTATTTTGTATACATATATTGGCCCTCTAAGAGAATGGATATCCATTTTTTTTCCCACAAATTGAGATTAAAATTGTGGGACTTACTTCACTTCGAACTTCAACGATTAGAACCGTCTATTTTATAAGTCAAGATTTATAGATTATCCTTACAAAAATTCAATTCAATTCGAAACTATATGCCTATTTAATTATCACGATGAAAATTCAATGCTTCTTAGAGAACAAAGTGTCGTCAAAAATCTCATTCTGCACTCTAAACTTTCTATATTGGGAAAAAAAAATACATTTGTAAGGAGTGTAGAATGAGATTTTTGGAGTGCCAATAACATTTCCCTTGTAAATATGATCTATCAGGTGCAACTTGAAAAATAGACGATTCAGGTCGTTAAAGTTCAATGTGGTGTAAGCCCCACAATTAATTCCTATTATTTTACAAAAATGGATATCCCTTCTCTTAAAGTTTCCTTACATATAAATTGGACATTTTTTATTGTTATTATACCAAGGTGTGTGTAAATACATTTACTTATTCTTAATTTAATATTTTAATCAAATAATATTTTTATATTTTATAAGTAAATTATTTTGCATGAATTTTTTTTGTTGACAAAAAAACTGTTTTTTGGGCTAAAAGCATTTAACCCCATTTCCGTTCGCATAGTTTAAAACTTTTTTGTCATTAAAAAATTGTAGACAACAAAAAAGTAATTCGATGTATTATAGATATTTAAAAAAGGAGGCAGATTGGCCCTTTTCATTCTCTCTTATTTGTGCGGTCACGGTTAAACTACACAAAATAAGAGGGGATGGGAAGGGCATCCAAACGGAAGGGAAGACAATCTGCCTCCTTTAAAAAATACGAAGGGTGTGAAGTCAAACTTTATTAAAGAATTTCCTCAGATGAAGCTTAATTACTATTTTATTTAGGAAAAAGAGTTATATAGGATTTATGTAACATCCCACATCGTTTAGGGGAGTGGATCTTCTAAGGCTTATATGTACATGCTCACCTCCATATAGCACGAGGCCTTTTGGGAGCTTAATGGCTTCGGGTTCCATTGGAATTCTGAAGTTAAGCGAGTTCGCGCGAGAGCAATCCCAAGATGGGTGACCCACTGGGAAATTCTCAGAAACAAAATCATGGGAGTGTGGTTGGCGCCCAAAGCGAACAATATCGTGCTACGGTGGAGTCGAGCTCGGGATGTGACAATTTTGTATCAGAGCCAATCCCTGGCCGGAAGTGTGCCGACAAGGACATCGGGCTCCTAAGGGGGTGGATTGTAACATCCCACATCGCCCAAGGGAGTGGCTCCTCTAAGCCTTATAT